CATTGATTTCTGCTCTAAATTTCTTCTGCTTACTTTGCATTTAATTTTCTCTTTTAGTTTCCTAAAGTAGAAAGTTACATGATCGACTTTTGGGCTTTCTTTCTAATATATGCATGCAATGCTATATATTTCCCTCTAACTACTGTTTTCACTGCATCCCATAAATTTTGGTAAGTTGTATTTTCATTTAGTTCAAAATATTTTTAAATTTCTTTTGAGATTTCCTTCTTTGACCCATGTATTATTTAGAAGTGTGTTGTTTACTCTCCAACTATTTTGGGATTTTCCAGCTATTTTTCTCATTGATTTCTAGTTTAATTCTGCTGTCATCTGAGAACATATATTACAAGATTTCTATTCTTTAAATTTTAAAGGTGTGTTTTATAGTGCAAGATGAGGTCTATGTTGGTGTATGTTCCATGTTCCATGTGCTGTGAGTTTACTTATAAGACACCAACAAAAGTCCTTTATATCTGTATTTTTATTTGAACAATTTTCTATAATAGCTAGAATACAGCATTAATGACACACGTTTACTAGGTACAATGTTAGACAACTACAAACTTAGAGCATAAATGTCAATCTGATATAGTTTTGCTTTTCATCTTAGCACTAGGTGATATCCAGTGAAAACCCATGTTTCAAAGGCTTTTCTTGATATGAGGTGAATTATTAACTTATTTTTTTAAATTCCATATGAGATATGCTGAGATGGGTTCAATTAAAAACTAGAGTTGGTTGATAATGCCTTTCATTTCTCAGTACTTCTGCTTCCTTTTTAAATGGATACTTTGCCTAAGAACATTTCAAAGATTAACTATACCATGTTTTTCTATGTAGATCAAAGTAGAACTCCTTTTCCAGATCCAACAAGGAAACGTATTTGGAAAATTGCTATGTTCAATTTCACTTTAGTTAAATGGTATATCCATCTGACAGTAAATTAACCATTAAAGCTAATAATCAAAATACAGGAAGTTAAATGTCATGAGTTCCTTTCTGTGCAACATTGTTAGAGCAATTTAAATTTCTAAGGATAAAAAAAAAATCAATGTTACTCCAAGATTTCACAAAAATACATAACTAGGAATCATAAATTACAACATACATATCCACATTTAAAGGAAAAATTCACCATTTGTGGGGAAAAAAATTAAATCATTCAAGAGATTTAGAGCCTGAAATGTAGGCTAAAATTTAACAACATATGGTAACAATAAGATATTTGAAACTATTGACTCTGAAAAATGCATGAAAATGTACTGACCTACAAAGCATTGAATTATACATATCAGTTTCAACTCAAAAAACATTTTTCTTCCAAATATTTAGGGCAATATTACAATACTAAGGAAATGTTAGTCATTTTCAGATGTTTATGACTCTAATAACCCCCATTATGTTAGGCTAATGAACATTTTAGCTAGACCAAATTATAAAATAAAAAAATATGTAAAATGCATTTTGGCAGATATTTTACATAGTACTTTCAGTTCCTGATCTACTGAGAAATCCACTGTAACTCCAGGTTGCTTTAATTTAGGGTAATACACTGGATTAGAATTTATAGCACTCTTTCTTGTTTTCAGTCAATCTTTTATAGCAAAGGATTCTTAAAAATTAATTTTAAAGCATGCCCATGAAAGGTTTTACAGTTGTACTCTACCTTTATTAAGAAAAGGTTGGTGGAAAACAAGCCATTTAAGTGTTACCAAGAATTTATCTCTATATTTCTTCCCTATATTCATTTGTTTACTTATGACATAGAGGCCCAAAACTCAGGAACACTCTTTAAGCCCACAATTTCACTGGCTCTGAGATGGTTACTCTTCAGAGTTCTAATAGCTGCTTGGAAATAACAGAAAAGAAAGATAGAGGTAACAGGTGGGTGAAGGTCACACAGAAAGGGGAGAAAGGAATTAGTGTTTGAAAGCCACACCCAATCAAACCCTCACAAAACCTTGAGAAACAGGGCTTGATATCCTCTCCAGGCAAGATATCCCCTTACAGAGGGAAAGTTCCAGAGAACTTAAGGCAGCTCTAGGAGGGAAAGGAGCAGGGGTTAAGGCGGCCCTCACAGTACAGCCTGAGAAGAAATTACAATGCACTTATCCATGAAGAGGCCACAGCAATACAGAGCCTCTCTAGCACACATGCACACGCCACACCTCCTAACTCCAAGTAAACACTGGCAGCATGCACACACTAATGTTCAAGCATACTCTGATTTGAATATGGCATGCCTGGGGACAGCCCTCAGAAGGCACCCAGGGGCTTGGCTGGCAGCTACAGGTTCTCCAAAGGCAGCACAGCTCACCTGGTGGCTCTAACAGGGACTCTGAGGGGTGTGTGTTGAGAGTGACCTGATTCTTCATATTCTGGGAGGCTTTCACTGCTTGTCATCAGATTGAGACAACCTGCTACTAATTAATGACCTAAACAGAGAGTATTGGACCATCCAAGGGAGCACTGACTTATTACAAAAGTCAAACCTAGTTATAGCAGGTACTATAAAAAAAGAAAACCACCAGGCTCTAGGTGCTTTACCTCGTTAGCACAATGAACTTGGTACTCGGCAGTGCTTAGTTCCCATGTGCCAGTTGCCAACTGATAAGGAAAATGAGTACCTCTTGCTGACCTGGGGCATCCCACTGGTATGAGGAGGAAAAAAATGTAACCTCAGGACTTTTTAAAGTCTCCTGCCTTGCCTCTGCCCACACTGCCACTGCTGCATAGCTCGGCTGGACGGCTGTGTGACCTCAAGCAAATCTCTGACCTTACCTCTCTCTCAAATGATCATCAGCAAGTGATTGTAGTAACTACCCTTCCTCCTTCCAGTACTGCTATGAGAATACAGTGAGGTAACATAGAGAAAGCACGTTGAAGTAAAGCACAGCCAGACCCAAGGTACTGTCCTGCATGACTT